GAGGAGGTGGGTGCGGTTTCGATTGCATGCAAACGAAACCAAATGTTTATTTATCAGGCATAATGGTGTAGGACAAAACAAAGGAGATGAAGAGAATCATAAGGGAAGGCGTGAAAATGAGGAGGGAAGAGGCATCAAGACAGTAAGGGGAGTAGAAGCATAATGGGTATAACATGGTGTATATATACATACCCATAGTCAATGTGTATATATATAATGGTTAAAATTTATTATAATTTTATATGTAAAGCATATAATTATTTTAATAAATATGAATAAATTTTAATTATTGAAAATAAAAAGATAAAATATTAAAATTTTATGTAAATATGATATGTAATATTTGTAAGTAAATAAATTTTTATTCATATTTGTATGTAAATAAATTTCTATTCATACATATATCTTCATAATAAAAGTAACACTATTTTATTTTTAATTTATTTCACTGGATTGTTATACACGTTAAATTTATTTATCACTAAATCACTTAAATTATTAACATAGGGTAATATATTTTCATTTCAATTGAGTAAAAGATAGGGTGAAGAGGGATATAGAGAGAGTAGATCTAATAATGATTAAATTTAATGGTTGAAATACAATAAATAAAAGAAATTTTTCATGGACTTGGGCTTTCGAACTCAACGGCATTAAGTCACATTTAAAGTGCAACCCCTTATCTCGACAATAGTTTGAATTTACTCCTTTACAAATTTGTTCAAAAAAATAAATAAATAAAAGAAATTTTCCATAAAAAAATAAAATTAAAATAATAAATTAAAATCTTAATCCTAGCGGCCGGGGTGGGATTCAAATTCAAAAAGAAAAGGCAAAAGCCGAAAAGGATGGCTGACAGCCTATCTAAATTTGGTCTTATTACTGTACCAACTGGCTTGTATTGCATGCCTTTTGATGACCATCTGCTAGACGCTGTCTGTATTGGCTCAAGGTTGGTTGAATTAGAGTGCAAATGAATAAACATCCTGCTCACTAGTTACTCTCTCCACCAATTGACACTTGGGCAATTGGATAAGTGGGCACTGCCCTACTCTTAGGCTTTTGGTGCTGGGTCTAATTCCCATTCCTTCACGCACAAAAAAGGGGGAAAAAAAGAGCACTTTTTTCACCAATTCTAATATTTAAACTTGAAAAAGTTAAAATAATAATAATAATGACACTTTTTCCACCAGTTCTAAGATCTAAAATGACATTTTTAATTTGTGCTCTTCAAGTACTAATCAAAGATATATTAATTATATTTTTTTATATTTAATTTTTATAAAAAAAATTACAAAAATTAACTTTATTTTTATTACAAACACATAAATACTTTTAACTAAATAATTGATTTAATACAAGTTAATTACAAAAACTATAATTAATATATTCTTCACCAGTGTGCCACACAAAATAGAAATACCTAGGGTCGAGGGGTGACTAACCTCTCCTAGAAATCCTTTTCTAAATATTGGCAAGATTTATAGCACTAGTGCACTTTTTCCCTGTCCATTGACTGTATTCAACTTTCCCATCCCCCATATTTGTACTTATTCAAAAAAAAAAAAAAAAAAAACCTTAGTACAGTATATGGGTACAACCGTACAAAAATAGAGAAGAAAAGAACAATGAATGATTCAGCGACAAGTTAAAATGATACTTCTGTTAAGCTACTGCAAGAATAATTGGACATGGAACAAAATTGTTTGTTATACTGATGTTAGACCCACATACCCAGCCAACAAAGCTAACACAGAAGATATGAGATATGCATCCGCAACGAGTACTGGTTCTTTGAGCTTGCATAACTCCAAATGATGATCAAAAGGTGCCATCCTGAACAAGCGGCGTCTGCTACCCAACAGGCATTTGGTTATCTTGAAGAATAACACCTACAACGTAGTTATCAAGAAATAGGACCTGGGAAAATAGAAGGAAAAGTTGAAAGAAGTTGATTAGAAACTGTATCTAACACACATCCACTTGAATGTCACCTTGTATATACATGAAGCCAGATGCAACCAGTAGATATATCAATGGCTAGAGGGTGCCAACTCAACAATGGAAAGGAAGATACATTTTGCAATTATTATTTGAGGGGAAATCACTAAAGAATTAAGTAATTAACATGTCATTAAAGGCACCTTGTATAAATTGCAATTATTATTCTAATATGTTAAAGAATTAACTTATTAGAATGCAGTTTTCAACTGAGAAGATTACTGAATGAATAGTTTTCTTACATAGCCTACCTGCAAAATAACGGATGATGATTCCACACCAAAAATACCAGATGAAATGAATAATGGAAGGAACATTCCAGTAAAAGCAGCCATTGCAGCCAAAGCTCCGCCAAGGGCCAATGACTCAGTATCACCCATAAATACAGATGCCTTGTACCGGTTGTGCAAAAGAAAACCAACACATGCTCCTGCAATTGCTGCTCCAAAAATAGCAAGTTCTGTTTTGGGATTGTGATATGATTATTAGTAGTGAAGAAGAATACAGTGAATGGAACAATATTGATACTTGTACTTGCAAACTGGAATGTCAAATTTCATAATCAAACATTTAAGAATGGTACAATATCTTAGTTATAGAGCAGCAGGATTAGTAGTCATCTTGCATCATTATAATAGTGGAGTATGGTTATAAAGGTGCAACACTGTCACCACAATGCAATTATAGGATTCACAGTTATTTAGTTTGAAAATAGTAGTACATGATGAAAATAATGCAAGATGACTATAAGAAAAAATCAATCTCACCCCTGCCATAACCATATGATTCTTGAAATGAAATCTATACTAACCAGGACATATAGCAAGCACTGCAATTGACATTCCAACAAAAGTTAAAGCAGCAGTCCCCCCAGCCAGTCCATCAAGACCATCTGTCAAGTTAACTCCATTGCTCATTGAAACAAAGCAAAATGAAGTCAACCAGAGATAACATTTTCCCAAGCACACAAGGCCCAGTGGTTCAGGTAGAGGAACCAACATTTTCCTGCATTGAAATAAAATTTATATTAACACCAACTATTGAACATAAAAATAACTAGAAATGTCTTTATACTAATAGAAAAAAGGATAAACATCTTAACACTAAATTTTAATGAGATTGATGACAGACCACTGTCTAATCATATCTAACCATAAAGAAGATACAATCCCAACTTGAAAATATACAAGATTCTTAGCAATAAATTCAGCAGGATTAAAAGTGATCTCAATTACCAAAGTTATGTTCTCATATAATCAACTAAAATAGATTTAACATTTAACTAAACAAGTTTTCAGTTCTCAAAATATGCTAGTGCGAGAAAGTACTTAGGAAACCTTATGCAGTTAGAACTTAGAAGGGATAATAAAATTATCAGCTTTTATAGGGGATTCCATATTAAAATGAAAATATAACAAAGGTATTAATAGGAAGAAATACAAATAACAATAGGCAACTAATATGTATAAGCCTTCAAAAGTTTTTAACTTCTTTGATTAGCAATTGAATTCTTTTGATTCTAAGAGCAATAGACTAGTTAAAGATCACACAGGGAAAAAGAAAGGATGAAATAAAGTGCATAGGGAAAAACCCTCCAAGTAGTTCAAAGAATCCATGAAGAATCTAACATATCTAAGTAAAAACTGCATTGCATCAATTTAGAGACATTTTCTTATTCTAATTCAATTTAGATGAATTCTTTAAAGATTCCCCCATTTTCTCTACACAATTTCACAAAAAGGAAAAGGAAAAATGTTGCCTCACACCCTGAGGAATAAGTGAAGATTGCATTCTTCCTTTATTTTCTTCTATATTTATTCTTTAGGTTCCTCCATTCTTATTAAAGTGCTTCAAATCATCAACGAATCTTTAATGAGATTAGCTGCATCCCAATTCAAAAGAAAGCTTCCGGAAATTTGTCCTTCCGGAAATTTGTCATCCGTTGTAAAATTTTTGCAGAGGAACAGATCTGTGAGTTACCATTAGATTAATGTTGCTCAGATTAGTGCAAGAAGATATACATGCCATAGGGGGATGATAAACTTGTTGCATCCAACCAAAATGAAAACCAGATTCCAACAGACGCCTGTAGGGCAAAAGAGTTCCAAGGTTAGCTCAGAGGAATCTACCAGTGGCTTTACAATAACAATAAGCATTCGAAATTAGAGAAAGAACCATCAATTAAAAGTTACCTCCAAAAGTAGTCTTAGCCACGGAGACAAGCCACCATTATCTTTCTTAATCAGGCTTAAGATGTTGTCAAGTAGCCCAATTGCAGCGAAGGCTAATGTTGCTGCTGCTGCACCAGAAACTTCATTAGAAGAACCAGCTATGACTTTCGCAACACAGACACCAACAGGAATGAAAAACAGTCCACCCATCGTTGGGGTTCTTCTCTTCCTGGAGTGCCTGGCAGGTCCTTTCCTGATGATCTGACGAAACCTAAGACTCTTGAGCATTGGAACCCGAACATAACGAGCACATGAAGCTAGAAATGCACATAAGAGGAAGGGGCGAGTCAAGTAGAATGGAGCCAAGGGTAGTCTGACAACTTTCCACCCCCAACAATCTACAAATAGAAGAAAAACCACCAAGAAGATGACAAGTCCCAGGTTGAGTAACACCCCAAGGTAGATCCTGCAATTATGGTAACAAAAAGGACTTAAGTGAAAGACACCCTTGGGAAAAGCCTAGAGAATGCCCATGGGCCATAGTGATCATAGTGCCAAAATGAGCACTTTGGTTAGTCAAACAAACGAGGAAAGGTACTAAGAAGATAATCTCAAAGTTTCCAGTATTCATTAGTCACAATGATAGAACCTCAAAAACAATGTCACAGGTGAGCAAAAAAATTTGATTCCCTACGATAACATGGTACCCCATGGACCACAATGAATCCAAAAGTGGAAAACATGAAAATCTTCAAACATAATCGATTGATTACACAACATTCCAAAATATTTCAGGTCAAAATAAGGTTATAGTTTTCTAGAATCTAGATTACTAAATTTGCCTATGTCTTCTCCGCCCCCTGCCAGTCATTGCAAGCCTGTGAGCAGCCAATGTAAGAGCCCCATCATTGGACACTCTTGAAGTGGGCAAATCAAGATCACTCACCGGAAATACAATATCTACATCTTCACCATCACTTAATGAAAGCATATATTCAGCAGCCTCATTATCATCCCAATCATCTAGTGAAGAGATGTCATATGAATCCTACAACTGAAAAAATAGAAGACTGAAAAGTAAACAAATATGCACATGGGTGATCTATAACACGAAACAAGAACCTCTACTGATTCCTGATGTGTCATTCTATCAAGAGAAATCCAAATAAAATATGATCTTTAAAATCCGTCTCAATCTCTAGTCAAAATTTATAAAGTTCATACAATTTATACATATGAAAAATACCTCATCAATGGCGCTAACTTGAATAACACCATACCGAAATGAGCACATGTGTTTACGCTCACTTGATCTATTTAACTACAAAGAAACAAGAAACAAATAGACAAGTGTATAGATAGGATGCACATTAGCATTCCTAATAGAAAAAAATGAAGTGGAAAAATGTTACTGTTTAAGAGAGCGAAATAGCTTCGACTGTTAGCAGCGAGATTTCATACATTATAAACAGGAAAATAAAGAAGATTTTCATGAAATTCGGATACCTTGAGAGCATAATACGAATAAGAAGCTCCGGAGCAATGCCGCGACAAAGACACAAAACCGGTGAAGCTCTGCCATATCGGAGATCGAAGGAGCCCCAAACGAGAGTAACAGTGATGATTCAGAGACGAGGTATGAGATTGCATGACTACGAAAATGGCGAGACGAAATCACGGGGAGCCAAAAATGCTGTTTTGATGAAGAGATAAGACTCCAATCCAATGCCATTAAAACCGACGACGGGCAGCGAGGAACAAGAAGAGGACCTTCTTTAACTTCGGAATCACCGGCGCTGTAATCGACACGATCTGCATTGGCATGACACGCCTCCGCTTCCATACATTAATTCTATAATATTTTATACATTAATTCATTACCTGACTTCGTTTCCAATGATAAATGGTTTCTGTTTTACTGTTTGAACATGAGACTGAAATTCAATAGATTTTGCTTCGAGATGAGAGAACACGAACACATGCAAATTCCAAACTTATTTTCTACACCAAATTTAATTTGTATAGACATTCAAACGAATGTGGTGGCATTACTTTTGCTTAATGCCAGTTTATAGACACAAAAAGAAAAAGAAAAAAACACACCAACACATCATGCCAAGGAGAAAACAATTTCATGGAGGACAAGGGGCGTGTTACTACTTCCTACGCCCCCTCCAATTCCCGTCTGTACATTGTAGGAGAAACAGCACATAGAATAAGATTACACGACGTTGATATTCGGTATTGACTTTAATTGGAAACAAGAGGTCGGCCACGTCCCATTGTAAATCCCCGGGTTCCATCAGGCATTCTGGGACCTGGAGGTGGTTTCGAGGGTTCAATGCCTCGAACAGATGATGAAGTTCCATGGCCTGGGGGAGAAGAGAGAAAATGGGAATGATGTGAATATTTGAAAGGGGAGAATAAACAAACAAGATAAGGCAGCAAATAATCTAGATACCATGCCCACTGGTAGTACCATGTTTCTGTCTCCTTCCTCGTCCTCTGTTTTTACCTCGATGCCCATTTTTATCCTTGGGAATGTGGTCACCATCCTGAAATGGTACAGCAATGAAACACAAGCATCATTGTGTGTTTTTACTAAACAAGTTATACTAGAAAAGCTTTGGCTTGGGCTGAGACCAAATGCTTGTGCCTATACAAGCTTTTCTGAATCTAAGCATCAGAACTGTTCTTGAGGACCAGAAGGTTCTCTTGCACTGCTCTGAAAAGAAATGCAAAGCACCCACCTCCTCATCAGGAATATCATCATGATGCTCACTTATGCCATTATTCTCCTCATCTCCTACATGATCAGATGATTGGCCATTTCCATTCTTCTCAGGATCAGATCCCCTCCAAGCTTGCCTTCTCTGCCCATACTTGCCCTGTCATCAGTAAACTATGATTAATGTCTATTCTTCCAAATATTGACAGCTGAAGAGAGAAAAAAAGGAAAAAGCAACCAGTTACCATTCGCTTAAGAAGCTTAACCCGCATGCCATTTCTCCAGTCCTGTTCATCATTAAGAGTGGCCGCCTGATCCAGTTCATGGGAAAAACTTAAAATAAATATTAGGTGTGAGGTGGTAAACCATTCAGGCAATATCCAAGATTTCACTTGAACTCACAGCTTTTTCAGCAGCCTCCACAGTCTCATACTCCACCAGAGCATGTAACTACAAGGATAAATCACAAAATTAAACATTGTTTTATGTAGACCCTCAATTAAACAACAAGATATCTACCAAGTTGATCATCTATTCCATACCTTACTACTGATCCAGATCTCTGTCTTGGCACCTTTTTTTGACTCTTCCATAGCATGTGGATTATGAATGCCAATATTCTTTATGCTGAAATTGCATGAAGAAGTCTAGAATCATTTAATGAAGGAAACAGAAACCTTGCAGAGAAGATAAGGATCAAGTCAAAAAGAAATCATACTTTCCAACTGCACCAAATATTCTCTGAAGGTTCCCCACCGAACGATCTTCTGGTAGATTTTCTACCAAAACAGTGAATAACTAGGGTCCACAAATTAGATGCAAATAATTGCTAGAAACAAAATACAACAATCCAGAAATCAAATGACTTTAAGATAACTACCTTTGGATCCCTGACCTCAGTCACTGGAAGAGGGTTGCTGCGCTTCAGCTTCTTTCCGTCAGGACTCACAACCTACAAAGAATTTCAGAGACAACACAAATTATTAAGTTGAAAATAATTAAGAAATAAAACCAAAAAAGTTTCCTTTCAGCAATATCTTTAGCCATGCTGAATCCAACTACAATATCTACATAGAAGAAATGCATCTCTAGAAGAAATTCAAGTGAAGAAGCTCACTATAAGGGAAGACTCTTTGAGCGCAGCAACAATTAGTAAATAGTCCTTGGTGAGCTTTTTCATCTTCCTAAAAGAAGCAATAATTGGGATAGGAACTGCAAGGAAAAATATGGTAAAAACATTATTTCAAAGACATAATGAGAGTATATTCATGTTAAGCAACCTTAACAAAGAAAAAATGCACCAAAGACTCCATGCACGATGGCTGTGATATAATCATGGTCAGACTATCAAATAAATTCCATCCCCCAAACAGAATTTTTTCTGATGCAGGACTAAAATTCTCTTCATATACATTTCTAAAGATCAATAAAAAGAAACAGTACTCCTGCCCATAATGCTGTACCATCAATGGAGGTGCAGCTTTATAGATACTTATCAAAAGTAGAATCATACACTTGCACGTGCATGCAGAGAAACTTTATAAGATGGAACTGCCACTTTCTTGACAAATTTTAAAAGTAGAATCAGCTGGGTTAATTCTCATTGAAAAATTTAGGTTGGGTGGGGTTAATGGGAATTTTAACATATTCAAATCCAAAGTTTGACTCCCTCCTTTGAACCTAATTAAGCATTCAAACATTGTCTCCCAGCGGAAGGAAAATTGACCAAACTCAAGCAATCAATCCAGTATATATATTTTGGGTATCCTGGCTTGATCAAAGATTTTAGATTATACTGATGAACCTTGGCATTAGATCAGTTCAAGAAAACATATTATGGACATTTGAATATAAAAAAATATCAGTATATATGACTTAAAGGAATAGAGAATGATTCAGACAGCAGTTATTTGCATAGTCACTCAGTCCTAGCCTAGAAGCTCGGCACAGCAATATTTGGCTACACCAAGATAACATCTAGGCTAGGAAGGAACTGTCATAAGTACCTGCTTTATTTCATCAATTTCATCTCCATTCAAGACAAAGTTCCAGTTATTGCTAGCAAAATTGAAAGCAAATCCAGCAAAAATTACTAACATACATGTTTTTTAGCCAGTCAAATTTTTATTTTAAGATAAATCATTACAAGGTGCAATTGTACTATAAGGTTTTTGGACCTTCATTCTTCTCAAAGAAATAACATGAAAAAAAAAAAAGGGGGGGGGGGGGGGGGGAGGAGGTAAAATTCATGCTTTCAAAGAGACTCAACAAGTGATGGTACAGTAATATATATGCAAAAAGTTTCTCACGAAATATTCTCTAGCACGTGTTAAGAACGCATACCTCATGTTCCTAAAACATGGAAGAAGGGAAGAATTAAAGAACTTACCAAAACCCTCTTTATTCTTCTTAATCAGATTCATCAGATACTTGTCAGTTGGCAGATTCTCATCACTAAAATAATATTCCACCTTAAAAACCATAAAGAAAAGGGGAAATCAGAAAACAGAGCTAAAAAAATTATATATATATATATAACCCAATAAAGCTAATTTAGAACTTAAAAGCAACTCTTACTTAATAATAATCTGATTCTAATAACATAATATTTAGAGGCTCATCAATTTGTATAAGCCCTAAGACAAACAAATCAAGATTCTAACTTTTACATTTAAGCACTCTTCAGGCAACCAAATGCACGGCAAGACGAGATTTAAATGAGCAAAAATGGATGGGATAAAGATTTCAAATCCTAAGATCTAAAAGATCATTCATTTCTTTCTATCTAGAATCAATTCTCCAGTAACCAAAAATGCTCAGAGTTTCTAAGGTTCAAAGATATATGTTTATCATCAGTTAACGGAAAACTAAGAGAAAGATTTAGCATCTTGCCTGCTTAATGATCTTGTTTTTTAGATCATCAGTGAGGACGCCAGCCCCGGAGGTCGAGTTCTCCTGATCCTGACCATGGTCGTGATCTTGACCATGGTCGTGATCTTGACCATGGTCGTGGTCGTGGTCGTGGTCGTGGTCCTCATCGGACGGCGGAGATACAATCTCCGGAAAGGTGTCCTCGGGGGATCCGACGGGGATGAAATCAGGAGGACCGTGCGGCGGGTTAGGCATATCGGTGGCGGCGGAAGCCTCTTCACGGTCCATTAATTGGAGGAGAGAGGAGAAGGAGAGAAGGCCTTTGGAGGGGTTGAAAATTTTGGGTAGAAAAGGGAAAGAAAAACCCTCCCGCCCTTTCTTTCTGCTCTGTCTGGCGTCTTCTACGGTTTTTCCTCGATGATGGGACCCTTTATAGAAACAGCAA